TACTTTTCTCTAAAGCTTTGTTGTTTTAACTTTCATGTTTAGATCTGCAATCCAGCTGGAGCTGATATTTTTATGTGGTGTGAGGTAGGGGAACAAAACAATAAAAAAAAAAAATACGGGTATCCAATAGACCCAGTATCATTTACTGAAAACGGAATCCTTTCCCAGTGACTGCAGGGTCACCTTTGTTGTAGGTCAGGTGAACGTGTGTAGGTCTCTGACTCTCTGGTTCCATTCGTCAATTTGTCTCTCTTTACCAATGCCACGCAACCTAAAATTCTATACCTTTATAATTATGTTCTTTTTTTTTTTTTAACACAGCATCACGTTTTTGTGCTCTGAGTACAGCATTTCATCTCTCTAAGGATTCTGCCTGCTTGAAATTTTCTTCCTCTCCCTACTGTCGTGGTTCCCTCCAAGCTCTTGTCTTGTCTCTGTAGTTGCTGCCATAGCTGTCCTTACGCTGGGGTGATCCCTGCCTGCCCTTTCATATTGAGAGGCAGGGCTGTAGGAACCCATAGAACCACCCCCCAGTGGATGAAAAGGGCTTAGCACTTTGGGGGCTCCCTGGGGATGCTGGGGTAGGGATGTCATCACCACTCGTTGGGGGAGTTTTCTCTTTGGCTCATCAGTTTCTCAGCAGTGAACCCTCTGATCTCCCGACTGGGAATAGAAGGCTCATTGTCAAAGTCTTGGGTGCCAAGTAGGGAAGGGCTGGGGATATCCCACCTTTCAGGATGTCAACCTTTCTCTTGGTACATCTGTTTGTTTGTTTGTTTGTTTGTTTAATGTATTACTTTTCTTTTTTAAAAGATTTTATTTCTTTATTTATTTGACAGAGAGATTTTTTAAAATATTTTATTTATTTATTTGACAGACAGAGATCACAAGTAGGCAGAGAAGCAGGCAGAGAGAGAGGAGGAGGGGAAGCAGGCTCCCCGCTGAGCAGAGAGCTGGATGCAGGGCTCGATCCCAGGACTCTGGGATCATGACCTGAGCCAAAGGCGGAGGCTTCAACCCACTGAGCCACCCAGGCACCCTGGTGCATCTGTTTTAAGCATAGCAGCCCCTCACCCAGCCAGGTCTAGAGTACCAAATGTAGGGGTGCCTCTGGCTCACCATCTCCAGAGAGTAAATCTCTGGCTTCTGCCAGTGCTTGGCTGTCACTTGGCTACAAGGAGTGGGGGACACTGGGGAGGGGGGGGACACCTGCTCCTTTTATACACCTTCTAGAATCATTTCAGCCCGCCCTCATCCCTCAGCCAGAGGAGCCCTGTCCGGAGCCTGCCAAGGGCTACCACGCACACTGGATGCCTTTGTCCACGTCCGTGTTCTTCTTGCTGTTTGTTTCCTGCCTATTTTCAAAACTCATTCATGCCTTTTCTACAGAACAAAAGAGGGGAAAGACCAAGAGATCCCAACTCTCTCCCACTGTAATTCAGTTCCCATTCATGTTTCTGCTTTCCCTCTGCCAAAACGTTGTCAGCGGGTCGTTCCCGCTCTTTTCTTTGTCCTTTTGGATTTACTCTTTTTATGCCTTTGCATAAACCAGTGGTGGTTGGTTTCAGGGGGAGCATGGGCGTGGCCTTCTGTGGGTAACTGGGATCCCCCTTTGAGCTTTGCACTCTCTGTTCCTTCTTTCTGGAATGTTCTTCCTATCACTCTCCCATTAAGTGGCCCATTGCCATCCTCAGGTCTCAGGGTAGTCTGTCACCTCCCCAAAGAGGACTTTCTAGAATGCTTCTTCATGTGGAGTAGTTCCCTGTACCCAATTCCATTCTCTGTCATCGCCATCATCCTTGTGGTGTCCTTGCCTGAGAGCATGAGTGAATGGCCCCATGGAAGCTATTTCCTTTATTGCTCTTACCACAATCTTCAATCATCTTACTTATAGGTTGATTGGTTTATTCAATCCCCCTCCTGCCCCCACAGGCACACAGTAAACACACGGTCAACTGTGCAAGAAGTCTTACAGGGAAAAAGATATCACTTTCCTGGTCAGGCCTTAAGGCTGGCATTGGGGTCCGCTGCCCACGTGGGCCCACGAGCTGAGCGTGCCACTGTGCAAAGGCGGGGCTGGTAGCTGAGGCTCACAGGGTCCAGGTACACAGCGATCGGGGCAGTTGGATCCCAACCGAACCCAGCCTCCCCCACCCCCGCTGCAGACAGATCCGGTGCGGCTGACTCAGCTGTACGAGCAGGCTCGGTGGGACCTGCTGCTGGAGGAGACCGACTGCACTGAGGAGGAGATGATGGTGTTCGCAGCCCTGCAGGTGTCCGGTGGGCTGGGGGACCTGGGGCGGGGTAGGGCGCTAGCTGGGCCCAGGGCAGGGAGGGTCTTCCAAGGTGGGGGACCCATCTCTGGGAAGCCCCACTTGGGGAACTGTGGGCTACCGGGCCGCCCACTCAGCCCTCCCTGGCTGCGTGCCCCACCCAGTACCACATCAACAAGCTGTCCCAGAGCGGGGAGGTGGGCGAACCGACTGGCACAGACCCGGGGCTGGACGACTTGGACGCGGCCCTGAACAACCTGGAGGTGAAGCTGGAGGGGTCGGCATCCACGGATGTGCTGGTGAGGAGGGGCTCTGGTCAGGGTTTGGGTTTGGGGTCAGGGTCAAGGGCGAGGACCTGACGATCCCCCTCTGACTCTTCGTCTCTGCAGGACAACCTTACCACCATCCCCGAACTCAAGGACTATCTCCGGATCTTCCGGTGAGTTTGGGCCCAAAGTCAGCAGCCCTGCCGGAGGGGCCCAGGGTGGAGAGAGAGCCCAGGAGGGAGGGAGGCAGCCCGTCACCAGCCTCCTGCCTCACCCTCAGGCCCCGGAAGCTGACCCTAAAGGGGTACCGCCAGCACTGGGTCGTGTTCAAGGAGACCACCCTGTCCTACTACAAGAGCCAGGATGAGGCCCCGGGGGACCCCATCCAGCAGCTCAACCTCAAGGGTGAGTGAGGGTGGCCTGGCCAGGACGGGGACAAGGGCAGGAGCTGGCTCAGGGGCCACCTGGCCCACCTGTGGGCTGGGGATTTGAAAGTTCTCATCTCAGTTTCCCCCTGGGGGCAGGAGAAGACACCATCCGCTCTCCCGTGTTCTGCTGGGCTGGTGTTCACCCGGGGACCTTTCAGGCAGGGCTCCCCGCTGCCCCCACCCCGGCCAGCCTCCTACCCGCCCCTTCATCTCCCTCTAGGCTGCGAGGTGGTCCCTGATGTCAACGTCTCAGGCCAGAAGTTCTGCATCAAACTCCTCGTCCCCTCCCCTGAGGGCATGAGTGAGGTCTACCTGCGATGCCAGGATGTACGTCCGGGCCGGGCTGAGGCTGGTGTGGGGAGGGGGCCGGGGGCCAAACCACAGCCTGTTCCTCACACCGCAGGAGAAGCAGTACGCCCACTGGATGGCCGGCTGCCGACTGGCGTCCAAGGGCCGCACCATGGCGGACAGCAGCTACCCCAGCGAAGTGCAGGCCATCCTGGCCTTCCTCAGCCTGCAGCGGACAGGCGGCGGGGGCTCGGGTGGCCACCCGCAGGGCCCTGACGCCGCTGTCGAGGGCCTCAACCCCTACGGCCTTGTCGCCCCCCGCTTCCAGCGAAAGTTCAAGGCCAAGCAGGTGCCAGCCAGAGGAAGTGGGTGGTGGGAATGACCACAGCAATTCCCTGGCCACCTGTGGCCCCTGAGTCCTCTCAGAGCCTTCCTTTAAAAAGGCCCGTGCTCACTCATTCTTTCCCCTACCCGTGTCCTTGAGGTTGAACACGCCGGTCCCCACCCTCTGGGATGGGTCGCGGTGCAGCTGCCCACATCCACCCCAGGGCCTGGCTCAGCTCCTATCTGCTGAGCCCCGAGAGGGTGCTCGGTGGCCCCACCCCTGCTCCGGGCTCAGCATCCAGTCTCCCCAGTGGGGACATGCAGGGGGGCTCAGGGACGTTGATGACAACTCACTGGTGTGGTCCCGCAGCTCACCCCACGGATCCTGGAAGCCCACCAGAACGTGGCGCAGCTTTCCCTGTCCGAGGCCCAGCTGCGTTTCATCCAGGCCTGGCAGTCCCTGCCCGACTTCGGCATCTCCTACGTCGTGGTCAGGTATGGGCCCCGCCCCCGCCCGCCGTGCCTTCCCCGGCTGCCTGCTGTGGCACCCCGCAGCCTCCCTTCCTGCCTTCTGTGGGTGCTGTGTGGGCGCCCCCGCCATCCTGTACCCCTGCAGCAAATGCCAGAGTGAGAGATCAGGCCAGGAGGGTGGGAGCCCTAGCTCCCCGCTCTGGCTCACACTCTCTCCCACCCCCGGAGACTAGGTTCAAGGGCAGCAGGAAGGATGAGATCCTGGGCATCGCCAACAACAGACTGATCCGCATTGACTTAGCCGTGGGCGACGTCGTCAAGACCTGGCGCTTCAGCAACATGCGCCAGTGGAATGTCAACTGGGACATCCGGCAGGTGGGCCAGGGGTGGGGGGAGGGGGGGCGCCTCCATGGGCAGGGTCAGGCCCAGCCAGGGCAGGACAGGGGGGCTGCTCTCCTCCCCTTCCCCCACCAGCCCCTCCCGTCTGCCCACTCTGCAGGTGGCCATCGAGTTTGATGAGCACATCAATGTGGCTTTCAGCTGCATATCAGCCAGCTGCCGCATCGTGCACGAATACATCGGGGGCTACATTTTCCTGTCCACACGGGAACGGGCCCGCGGGGAAGAGCTGGATGAGGACCTCTTCCTACAGCTCACAGGAGGCCATGAGGCCTTCTGAGGTCTGTCTTATCGCCCCCACTTTGCTCGCTATCTGCTCTGGCCACGCCTAAGCCCACACCCTCTCCAGACATGCCCCGAGCTGGGCACATTCACCTGCTGTCACTGGCTTCGTGCAGACCAGGGACTTAACCGGGCCAGACTCTGCCATCCCCCAGGCTAAGAAGGGTGGGTTATGAGCTGACACAATGCCCACCTTTCCCTTGTTCGAGTGGCCGGGACCAGCACCGCTGACCCAGCTGGGCTCTCCGAACACATGAGGAAGACTGGCTGTAGCTACAGGGTGATGATAATTCATGGTTTCAAACAGGAGCTTTTTTTTTTTTTTTTATCTTTTTACATTTAAAAAAAAATAAATATTTTATTGTTGGGTCATCCTGCTTCCTCTGGAGCTGTGCTTGGGGCCACTCTGACACTCTGTCTCTTCATTACCAGCCAAGGAAAGGGACTTTCCTGAGAGAGAAACAAGATGTTAGGGAAAGGGAGACCGAAGTCAGCCTGAGCTGGGAGCTGGGAGGGAGGAGAGGGCAGAGGGCACAGGCTCCATGAACAGGAGAATGGTGGTGGTTCTCACGGGTAGGGCGAAGCTGCAGGGCCTCCTTGAAGTACTTGGGAAGCAGGAAGCCATCAGCATTCCCCGGGGTGAGGATCACTCCATTGGCAGAGCGGAAAAAGGGGATTCCATCTGCAGACAAAGCCAGAGGTGGGACTCCTGCCGTATCTGAAAGCCCTGGGGAAGTCCCTGCTGTGTCCAGGCTCACCTGCCAGGGCCCGGGGCCCATCAATGAACACGGCCACTTCACAATTTGGCCGCATGCCTGTGGAGACAATTGGAGCTGAGGCCTGGAGCATTTGGGGGCCAGTCATCAAACCTGGGCAGGCTTAGTGCGGGGAGGTCCTGGGCTCAGGGGCAGGGATAGGGCTACCACAGCATGCAGAGCACGGAGTGGCCTTGGACAAGAGAAGCTATTATTCTTGGAGAGGGACCCGGTAAAGACAGCTGGGGAGGGCTACTGACCACTGATGACACCAGGGTCCCCAGGCAGTCCCGGAGCCAGGTGGATATGTGTCCTTCCCCGGCAGGATAGGCCCCTGAGCAGGATGGATGGCCAGTGCTGCCAGAAAGTACCATGGACGAGCCTCAGGGGCAGGGCCTGTGGGGTCTCCAGGGGCATCAGCTCCAACTCCGGTACCTGGGATGGTTGGGAGAATGGACAGCAGTGAGACGCCCCCTCCCCACACACGGGCAGGGGTCCCACCTGGCTCTCCCACTGGTCCCCTTAGTGCCCACCTGCAGGGTGTGACCCTGATTGGCCCGGATGAGAGGGCCCGTGCCGGGGTCCCCTGGCTGCAGGGCAAACCGCTGCTTCCCGTTGGTGTCCACAACTCGCTGCACGTCTTCAGCCGAGAAGCCATGGAACTGGGGCAGCTGAAGGAGGGTACCGAGGGGCACGAAGCCATCTGTGGGCAGGCACGGAGCTCAGGAGCGCAACTAGTCCTGGCCTGGGCCAGAGTTAACAGCGGGAGCCAAAGGAAACCAGAATAGAGCCTAGGCTTGGGGTGGGGGCGGGTCACAGGGGTTTTATCTGTGAGAGTCTCCCCTTTCTGGGCCTCCATTTCCTCAACTTCCATTGGAATAGGACCTGCCTTCGGGAGGGTCACAAAGCTAGGGTGCCCCTGTTTTAGCACAGTACCCTGACCAGAATGGATGCTCAGTAAACACCAGTTACCTCACAGGCAGGCTCCTGGGCTCTGGGCCTCGGTGCTCCCTGTACATGGAGGAGATGGGCCCTCTGTGCTGTCCCCACAGGGCCACGGGGTAGGGCAGTCACAGATAAACTCACACTGCTCCCTCACTTCCAACCACTCACTTCAGTCCCCAAGACTCACTTACCAGCCCTCATGGGAAGCCCCAGCTTCAGGGCCCCATGCCGCAGCACGTAGGACAGAGCCTTGGACAACTGCACGTCTTGGTCCTGTAAGAGCCAAAAGGTGGCCCCAGCTCCACTCTCACCAACCAGCATATTCAGGGGAGCCAGAGCACCAAGTCCTCCTCCTTTACCCTCCCACCAAGAAAGTAGGGGTGAGGGTGGGGAGGGCGCACCTGTCCCCGGGGTCTGTGAGCCCTTCTACCCCTGGGTCCTGTGGTTTCCTGCCTCCTTCCTCCAGGGGAGTTCATGGCAAAGTCCTGCGAGGAACAGTGATAATATGGGGACTGTTAAGGACCCTCTCATGTCCCCCGTCCTGCCCAGCAAGTCACAGAGCCTCAGGATGTGAGACCTGGGAGGGGGATATTCTGCTCATTAAATTCACTTCCCACCCCAAACTTCCTGGTGCAGATAGGGAAACTGAGGCCAGCAAGCAAGATTTGCCCAAGGTCACACCGTGCCCCCCCACGGATCCCGGGTAAGCCGAGACCCCGCGCTCCAGGGTCGCGGGCTGCCCCTTAAAGTGGGCCTCAGGAGGCGGCCCGGCGTCCAGGCTAACGGGGCGGAAGCGTCAGGGCCGGCGAAGACAGACAGAATTAGCAGGTGGGAACCAGACGCAAGACGCTCGACCTCACCAACTCCGAGGCAACGCCGCGACCCCGCCGGCCCAGGCGCAGCGACCCTCCAATGAGAAGCGGGGGAGGAAGGGGAAGGGCACTTCCGCTTCGGGAAAAGGGGCGGAGCCTGTGTGTCGCGTAGTTCGGTGAGTGCTGCTGGAGGCTTGCGCTTCCGGATCCTGCGAGGGGTCTGGCGCCCCAGGGGTTGGTGGGAGGACCCTGGGATTGGGAGAAATGGGGATAAATGGGTGACTGGACTCAGGACCTCTGGGTGGTAGAGATGCGCGGGAGTCCTAGGGATGTCAGGCAGCAGGAATCTCGGGGCTCTTGCTAGGATAAGACACTCTCCTGCCCAGGGAGAGGTCAGAGGGGATCAGAAGGGCTGGGGGAACCCTAAGGAGGTCTGTGGCCCAGGGGGCCAGCTGCTTGGCTCAAGGATCGCTGTGGGGCTATCTATCGGGGTGACAGTCCCGGCTGTGTCCTCCCCCAGAGTGGCCCTGTCCAGATCATGGACCCTGAGGTGTCTTTGCTGCTGCGGTGCCCCCCAGGTGGGCTGCCAGAGGAGCAGGTACGGGCTGAGCTAAGCCCAGACCATGACCGCCGCCCACTGCCAGGAGGGGACGAGGCCATCGCTGCCATCTGGGAGAGCCGGCTACAGGCTCAGCCCTGGCTCTTTGACGCCCCCAAATTCCGTCTGCACTCTGCCATCTTGACTCCCACTGGCTCACAGGGACCACAACTGCTCCTGCGCCTGGGCCTGACTTCCTACCGAGACTTCCTGGGCACTAACTGGGCTGGCTCGGCGGGGCGGCTGCAACAGCAGGGGGCCACTGACTGGGGTGACAAGCAAGCCTACCTGGCAGACCCGCTGGGGGTTGGCGCCATGCTGATCACAGCAGATGACTTCTTTGTCTTCCTTCATCGCTCTCGGCAGGTGGCCGAGGCACCTGGGCTGGTGGATGTGCCTGGGGGGCACCCTGAGCCTCAGGTGAGATGCCAGGCTGGGTGCAAAGGCACAAAGACACAAAAGGCTTTGTTTTCCTCATCCCTTAAGGGGGGAGGGTGGCCTGGTGCTTATCTGGGTGGGAAACTAGGGGATGGTGGGGGGCGTGGGGTGAGGGGTGGGGAACAGAGGACTAGCTGGATCTCTGGTTGTCCATATGGAAATGTGGGCCTGGGTCAGGGGATCACCAAGACTCTTTCTCTGTGCATAGCCAGGCCCTAAGGGCCAGCAAATATGGGGGAGGCAGGGAGGGAAGAGATGGAGAACAGGGGCTGAGCCTGACCTCTCCCAGGCCGTGTGCCCTGGTGACAGTCCCCTGCACGAGAACCTCCCTGGGGAGCTGGTGGTGCATGAGCTCTTCTCCAGCGTCCTCCAGGAGATCTGTGATGAGGTGAGTGTGGGGTGGCCCAGACAGGTGGGCAAGAAGGGAGGGGGTAGAACATGCCAGAATTCCCCCAGGTATGGGCTGGCAGGAGGGTCTGCAGGCATCTGGCCTTGGGGGAAGAGCTTAGCTTTGCAGTTAGGCACAAGTGGAGTGGAATTCTAGCCCTCGTATCTGTGTGCCTCAAGCTCCTCTTCTTTAAAATGGGAACAAGAGGGGCACTTGGGTGGCTTAGTTGGTTAAGCCTCTGCCTTTGGCTCAGGTCATGATCCCAGGGTTCTGGGATCGAGCCCTGTGTTGGGCTCCCTGTCCAGTGGGGAATCTGCTTCTCCCTCCGTCCCTCTGCCGTTCTTGTGCTCTCACTCTCTCTCAAGTAAATAAAACCTTTAAAATTTTTTTTTAAAAAACGGGAAAAAAAGGAACAATGACAAATGTCTTGCTTACTCCACTCCCCCACCCCACCCCACCCCTGCGCCGTGTGTTGAAAAGAGGAGTTAATGAGAGTCCCAGTTACTCCTGACTTCCCTTGGGTGACTCTGGGCAAACTGTTTAGTTTCTTGAGTTCTCCTTTCCCATCTGTAATATGAACTTGCCTAAGATCTGACATTTTGTGATTCTGGGCACTTGAACTACTAACTGTAAAATGCTGTACAAGGATAATGTTCTTCATTGAGACGGGCAGGGATGTGGGCAGTGGTCATTGACCGGTGGACGACCTGTCCCAGGTGAACGTGCCACTGTCCGCTCTGAGTCGGCCACTGCTGTTGGGTATCGCCCGCAATGAGACCAGCGCCGGCCGCGCCAGTGCTGAGTTCTACGTCCAGTGAGTGGACTCCGGGGTACAGGTTTCTGGGGTAGGTGGGTGGTCCAGGGGAATGGCTGAGGCAGCTGGGGTTTCCCAGGGACCCTCCAGGGACTGGACACTCCCCAAGCCACTCTCCTGTCCTTTTCCAGGTGCAGCCTGACTTCTGAGCAGGTGAAGAAGTACTACATGGGTGGGGGAGCTGAGGCCCACGAGTCTACGGGGATCATCTTTGTGGAGACACAGGTGTGAAATGGCAAAGTGTGTCCTGCTTGGACAAAGAGCTGGTGTTGGGCTTGGCACAGGCCAGGTGATACATGTCTGTCTCCCCGGGGCTGGGTCAGATGGGGCTGCAAAATCTCTTAGAGCTTTCCTCCAGAGCCACAAGGCCTCTTTGGGGATGCCCTCAGTCCAAGAGAGGGCCAGGAACCTCTTCAGCCTCCTTAACATGTCTCCCTAGAGACGGTGAAGTGCAGAGGGTTCTGAGGCTTAGGAACGCTGGGGCACAGCTCCTGCAAGAGACCTGAGGGCTGGATGTTGGGGGTCTTACTCTCTCCCCACAGAGGGTACAGAGGTTGCAGGAAACCAAAATGTGGACTGAGCTCTGCCCGTCGGCTAAAGGTGCCATCTTCCTCTACAACCAAGTCCAGGGAAGTCCCACCTGAGTCGCCCGAGGGTCCTCAACCCTAGCACGACTTGGAAGACAATAAAGGGCTTTATTCTTGGATTCCATTGGCATCTGCTGTTTCTGTGAGACAGAGATGGACCGCTGGGAGAGACCTGGGTGGCTGCGAGGCAGGAGGAGCGTTGGGAAACAACAAAAACCCAGCCTCCGTTCTCCCTCTGCAAACTAGAATGAGGACGAAGCCCCTTGCCAGGCCGTGGTGAGGGTCCGAGCCTCCTATGGGGTGGAAGTTGCTTTACGAAAGCTGTCTTGCTGCAGAGCAGAGTAACAGCCACATTCCTGCGACAGAGCAACGGAAGCGGGGTCGAAGGCCTCAGCGAGGGCAGGCAGCGTCCCTTCCGCTTCGCCAACCGGCGCCCGTTGTCTTTCCGCAGGTCCGCGGGCCTCGACCTCGTTGGGTGGACCCGAGGCGCCAAAAGCCAATGGGTGTGCGGGGTGTGGCCTTTGACGTACGTCCGGACCTTCGGGTTCTGTGGGCGGGGCATCGGTGTCTAAGCCAATGAGAACGCGGGGGCGGGGTCCGCATAGGGGCAGGAATAGGAAGCCGCGGAATCTGTGAGCGCTGCGGGGGCGGGGCGGGCCCCTCCTTCACCCGCCCACCCCAAGGCTCCCAGGGTGGGGAGGGGGTCCCCGGCGTCCGGGACAGCTGGTCCCGGACACCGAGGCCAGTGTGGGGACGGGCTCCGGACGCCCCGGTCAGAGGCAGGGGCAGGTCCAGTACACCGGGGTCTGGTCCTGAGGAAAGGAGGCCCCGCCGCCCCTGGGTTCCCCGAGGCAGCTTCAGTTTGCCTTCGCAAGTAAACGGGGCCAGGCCCTTCCCTTTGGCCCCGGAGTGCTTGAAGTGTCCCATCCTGGTCCCGATGCACTCTTCTTTGTGGCCTCCTTTCACCAGCCGCCGGCCTGTCGCCATGCTGTCCCTGTGCCTGTGCCGGTCGTGGCACCGCAGCCCTGCCACCCGGCTCTTCTCAGCGGCCTCCGGGCAGCGGTGAGTCGGGGGCAGGGGGCAGGCCCCCATCATTCAGTGGGTTTTCGTTGAGGAGGGCCTGCCCAGCTCCAGGCCTGGACCCAGGCACTATGATAGTTGTGATCTCTGTACTCTGTGTCAGGTGCCTTACAGGCTAGTTTCAGGTAACCCTCACCTTCACGACTGAGGACACGAGATCAAAGATTAAGGGATGACCCCCAAGTCATACAGCGAGTTAAGTGGAAGAAGTAGAGTTTGAGTCCAAGCCAAACTCAGTGTCTTTTCGTGACTGCAGTGGTGGTCAAGCACCACTGTGCAACTCGGTGGGCGGGGGTGGGGTGGGGTGGGGGTGTGGCTTAAAATATGCAGCTTCCCGGGCCTGGTTCTGGAGAGTCTGATGCTCAGGAATGAAGTGGGGCTCAGGAATCTGGTTTTGGGGTTTTTTGCCTTTTTTTTTTTTAGATTTTTATTTATTTATTTGACAGAGAGAGATCACAAGTAGACGGAGAGGCAGGCAGAGAGAGAGAGAGAGAGAGGGAAGCAGGCTCTCTGCTGAGCAGAGAGCCCGTTGCGGGACTCGATCCCAGGACCCTGAGATCATGACCTGAGCCGAAGGCAGCGGCTTAACCCACTGAGCCACCCAGGCGCCCTGCTTTTGTTTTTTAAACAAGCTTTCTGGGTGTTTACGCAAGGGGTCTGAGGGCTACACACTGAGATGTTCTGATCTGCACCATACCTGAAATGCTCAAAAAGGGAGGGATGATTTGCAGGTGGAGCTCCCTTGGCCTCAGCTTCCTTACATCCTGGTTCCTTCCTTCCTTTCTTTTTCTTTCTGTTTTTCTTTTCCTTCCTTCTTTCCTTCCTTTCTCCTCTTTCTTTCTTCTGTCCTTTCTTCTTTTTCTTTCTTTTCCTGTTTGTCTTTCTTTCTCTTTCTTCCTTTTTCTTTCTCTCTCTCTTTCCTTCCTTCTTCCTCTTTCTTTTTTTTTTAACCTCCTGGTTTCTGAGTTGAGGAGTGCGGTGGGGGGGGGGGCTCGGAGGGGGAAGGAAGGAATATCCTCTGTGTTTCTACAGCCCCTGCAGTTTCTGGCCTATCTCCACAGGTCTGGCCCCAGGAACTACTATGAACTGTTAGGGGTGCATCCTGGTGCCAGCACTGAAGAAGTTAAACGAGCTTTCTTCTCCAAGTCCAAAGAGGTACCAGTGGTCCTAGGTGGGGAGGAGGGACAGTCAGTCTGAGCTGGATAAGGTACATTTCAGATTCCCGGGAGAGGAGTTGAGTGGCTCAGTCTGGATGGTGCCACATCCCTCAGCGTGCAGAGAGTGGGAGTTGCTCCCAGGGCAGAGGTCTGGCCAGTTGGGAGGAAAGGTTGGGGGCAGGCGACAAGGATTCTGTGTGATGGGCTGGACGTGGTTCTTTTGAACTGCCTGCTCTTGAGAAAGCCTGGACCAGGGCATATAGTGAGAGCCAGGCAGCAGGTGGGGAGGGCTTGAACAGGGGTGGGGGACAGGAGTCTGTGCTTCCTGACTCTCTGGCCTTCTAGAAGGGTGGGCAGCCCTGAGAGGGAGGATTACTGGCCAAGCAGGGCCTCTGGGGATGGTTTGAGCCTTTGAGGGTGGGCGTTACTGGGCTGGGTTCTGTGAAGGGACATGGAAAGAGAGCTGACGGGAGTCCTGTCCCACCCCAGCTGCACCCCGACCGGGACCCTGGGAATCCAGCCCTGCATAGCCGCTTTGTGGAGCTCAGCGAAGCATATCAAGTGCTCAGCAGAGAACAGAGCCGCCGAAGCTACGATCACCAGCTGTCCTCCGCAAGTCCTCCAAAGCCTCCAGCAACCGCGGCCCATGCCAGGTCTGCTCATCAGGCACACAAGTATCAGGCACACAGGTACAGTCGTCCTGCCCCTTGCTTGCCGCACAACCCCCAAGTCTCCTAGGGAGCCTCATTCCACACTTCCTTTCTCCTCCCTCCCAGCGGCTCCTGGGAACCCCCCAATGCCCAGTATTGGGCCCAGTTTCCTGGTGTGAGGCCTCGGGGACCAGAGTCGAGGAAGCAGCAGCACAAACAGAACCAGCGGGTTCTAGGGTACTGCCTCCTGATCATGCTGGCGGGCATGGGCCTGCACTTTGTCGCCTTCAGGTGCCTCCCTGCCTTCCCCCTGGGCAGAGGGCGGAGGATGGGGGGAGCCCAGTGTGGCCAGTCATACATCCACACCGCCTCTGGGGCCTGCACTTTTGTGTCTCTCCAGCTAAGAATGACACGAAGTAGGTCTCCTGAGCATCATCTCCTGGGCAAAGGCTGCTCTGCTTCCACTAAAGGCTAATGTCATTTTCAGTTTTTTTGGCATTTGAAGGTAATTCTTTGGTGCTGCTGCCAGGGCGTGCTGGAGTCAAGCAAGATCCCGCACAAGAAGGAAATATGTTGTAACTGGGCCTCACTGGCAACTGTCCTCACTTGTTGGGCAATCGGCTGTCTCCCTGCCACTCTTTTATGCATGCCGTGGGTACCGAGGTTCTACAACAAAGATATCTAAGGGCTGATGCCCACAGCCAGCAGCCTGCCTAGCTCAGTGGCGGAGTGACATGTACACCCTTTCTAGTCTCTTGCGAGGAGGAACACCCTGATGTTCGGAGCTGTTGTCACCCCCTTCAACAGGGCAGCCAGGGACCTGGGTCACCAGTGGACCCTGGATAAGCCGCGGCCCTTCTGGGCCCCTCTCCCCACCTAGCACAGGCAGTTGGCCTGAGGTCCTCATGAATGAGGAGACCCTAGAACGGCCTGGATGGCGTGGGGGTGGATTTGGGGGGTCGCAGGGATTGGGGTTAATTGTAACCCCCTTGCAGGAAGCTGGAGCAGATACACCGGAGCTTCATGGATGAAAAGGACCGGGTCATCACAGCCATCTACAATGACACACGGGCGCGGGCCAGGTCTGTCCCAGTCCGTCCTGCCCTCTCCCTTCACTGTCCTGGCACCAGCCTCTGGGATACTCTGTCCTGACCACCCAGGTGCTCTCCCCTGCAGGGCCAACAGAGCCAGGCTCCAGGAGAAACTGCAGGGGCAGCAGCTGCAGGCCCCACCTGGAGGCCCAGGGATCACGCCTCCCGACACAGGCACCCGGCCGTGAGCGGCTCACTTGGACGCGGGCTGCCGGTTGTTCCCTCCTTGCTACCCCGCGGGACTTGCCACCCCTCGAAACGCGGGCAATAAAGTGCTTCTCAGAGCTCGAGTCCTGCTCCTTGCTTCAGGCCCAGCGGCCCCCTCCCGGGGCCTCGCCGGGAGAACCGCACCCCGCCCTCCGGGTCCTGGCGGCGGCGACCCGGGAGCCCGGCCCCCTGGGCGGCGCGTCCCCTTTCCCCTGCTGCGGCAGGAGGGGGGTGTGTGGAGGGGGCGGGTCCCCGCGGCGGCCTCGCCCCCCCCTCCCCCGCCCCGCCCCCGCCCCGCGGCCCGGTGGGGAGCGCGTGTCTGGGTCACATGAGCCGCCCGCCCGCCAGCCCGGGCCCGGCCCCCCGCCGCCCCCGCCGTCCCCGCCGTCCCCGCCG